ATAGCTAAAACTAAAAACAAACTAAAAACTACTTCCAAAAACATTCAGCTTTGATATTAATGAGTTTTTTGGGTTCATTGAGAACATGGTTGTTGTTCAATAATAACATTATTCCTCACAAATACAACTTGCCTAATAATTCTGCACTCCCTGTAATTCGTGAGCGCTGCACTAGAAACATGAGCAATTCAATTACTGCTCACAAACTGATTTTATATTACAGGCCACATACAGCTTGATTTGATCTAGTGTGGACCAGAGAAACAACGGCTCACACACATCTGTATATGAGACAAAGAAGCACCGTTTCAACAGTACATCTGTTTTTCAACATGATAAAGAAATGCTGCTGTGGTAAACACAATAAATGTTAAACTGTAAGAAATAATCTAGAATTTAAAGACATTCGTGCACTGCGAGTGGCTGTTGGGAGGTTTTTATTATATCCAGTTTAAACATCCAGTGGGCCAGTTCTGGCCCCCGAGCCTTATGTTTGACACCCCTGATGTAGTATAGTATCCTAATGTAAACAGCCCATGGTTCACCCTGCTGTTATCAGGTGAAACAGACACGTTGAATCATTTTGTGTTCAGTGTTGTCGTGCCACGTGAAACGTACATGTGTTAAATGCATGTGGACCATAATGAATTGTTACCATTGTTGTGGCTAGCCTCCGTACCACATCTGTTGAACCCTGGCACTAAAAGTGTGTCACGTGCATCAGAGCTAGTAATGCTGACCTGTCTTATTCTGTCTTCTGAGGAGGGACTCAGGTATCTCGAGGGCATCGAGCTGAGGTGCAGCGTCACAGCGTCTGCTGGAAACACATCACTGCATGAGTGCGTTACAGTCAGAATGAATACATATACATGTGTACAATACAAATGCAGTTTTCAGTGAACAACACGATCAAACATCTTTCACAGTAACAGAAGAAAAGGTGCAAAAGCTCCGACTGTGGCCAGGTGCAAACCACCAGCCAGAAAGGAAGGCCACCACGTCGTCATTTACTCAGCATCACAGACACAGCTGCATCCAAAACGCCATCAGTACATCATCTCAGATCAGAGGTACTTTGAGTTGGTTGCTGTAAGAATGTGAAAATTTCAGCTCTAGCAGACTTTTGCTGCAGCTGCCTTCAGCTTTTGCTTGTTTGTGTAGCCAAACAGCAGCTTCTGCTGGGTGGACATCAGTCGACTGACTTTGACACTGAACAATATCCCGTTTCTTAAGCTGCTTTTGCAGTTAGGTCATATCCACTGGTACTGGAACACATCAGAGCTCATCCTGCAACTCCTACCAGTACTCGCATCACCACTAAACACGGGTTCCTACTGGTCTGGTTCCACTGGCACCACCACGTCGACTGATACTGTGGTGCTGCCCATCATTCTGATACCTGTAAGTTTATCTTCGTAGCTTGTATAAACTGAACGTTTGAGACGTCCTACCAGACTGATGTCAGAATTGTTGGTAAAAATCTGTTAGGACAAAAAAATTCTAACATAGTGGATCAATGGAGCTCCCTCGTTTGAAAAGATCTTGCTTCTGTCTGCAGGTGACAAGGTCCCTTGTTTCTGCATTTAACCCAAACTTTGACTTTGACGGTGATGTAATGCTTAAAGCAGGCGGACAGACACACCAAGGTCGTTCAGAGCTTTACTAGAGTAGGTGAAAGTGTTTCTTACAAACCCAACAGCAACAGCATTAATTGATGTATTAGATGGCCAAAGCCATGCATTTGTACTGCCTGACTAACACCCAAGTTTCTCCGTTATCACGCATTATGTAAAACATTAGATCCAAGTTCTCGAAAAAACCAAAACATCTCACATAAAATCTTTACTTCACATTTTTCTGAAAAATTTAAATGCAATTTAAGATAAATTGGTTAAATTTTCCATTTCTTAAAACTGACTTTTACATAAAATCCAATCCAGTTTGTAACTATTTTGATGACAGAATAAATATCCATAAATCCTTTACACAGCAGGCCAAAGCCCTCACTCACCATGGGGATCTGTTACTTGCACGGGATAATTGGCCTCCAAGGACTGTGGGACAGACAAACACAGACATGACGATATGAAAAGCAAACAGAACTGAAGACAGAAACCTGAGCAAGAAAAAGGTTGTCTACTTTGGAAGCTTCCTACTCTCTTTCTTCATGAGATAAAGACTGTAACTCAGGAAGAAAATTACTCTGGTGTGCAAAGACAGCCTGCTGCAACTTGTTCTTTGATGAGCCCTCGGGCGCTAGCAATCACAGCACACTGTGTTCAGTTATGGTACGTTTCTTAGCAGATTACTGTAAGACTCTAAGGAAGAACAATGAGAAATCAGCACAAAACAAACTACATAGGAGACAAGTCAAGACAATGAGAGTGTTAAACACACGGCTGGAGAAGAAAATAATGAGGTTGCTCACAAATTCTGCCACAAAGCTGGTGGTGTCTGTGTCCTCCACAGGCTCAGAGCTGCTTCTGTCTGTTTCCGAAAAAAGGAAGAGGCTTTAACAGAGTGAATGCTGATGTGGTCACCATTACTCATTTGATCTACTTCCTACTCCACAGAGACGGCCACAGTCAAGAGAAATGATTAGAAACGGTGACAGCTGTGCCGCGCTGGGCCGTGCCGGGCTGTACTGGGTAAAAGGTCATTAGAAAGAGTAAGAACAGGCTGTAACTACATTATAAGTAAAAAAGTGCAAAGTCTGAGTTTACATGTAGGTTTCCTAAACATAAGACAAAAGGTAAAGTCACCTGATAACAGTGCAAAACTCCTCTGAAACAATCTGGATATTGTTAGAGGACGACTCTGACCTCCAACAGCTCACAGAGCAGCACAAAGACGGCTTTTCAGCACCGCACTGCACTCCGGCCAAATACAGTCCTGAGCTGGTCTTTCTTGGGTTACAGCAGATAACTTACACGTGTACAAAAAACTAAACATGCAGAGCGACATAGTGTTTCAGTTTAAAGCCATAAGACATCCATGGAGCTCTCAGGACAACAAGAGTCAAGTAATGAAATATGTACGTTACACATTTCCACTCAAACGCCGGCGGATCAGGATGGAGACTTGTTTAAATATCAGGAGTCATCCTGGCAGTTTTCGCTCAGATTTAAACCGTTTTTTAAAGAACTGTATTTAGTAATAACGATAATCATAAAATGCTCTGATGGTGGGTTTTTCTCAATGTCAGGTCATGGTCAAAAACATTTCCAAAATAAAAGCTGGGTTGACCAAAACAAATAAAACATTCTGTTTAGACAACAATGTCGAGGGGAAAAAGATGCACAGCCAAAATGACTCAACCTCACGACTTCCCACTCTGTCCTTTTCTCTTCCTACTCAGCTCCCTGATTAGACACCAACACATCGTGGCTGACATCAGGGCACACAGTTACAATGCTCTGACTAAATAAATGAAAAATGACTAACTATTTACTGACCAAATAAGTCGTCAAGTAAAACAAAGTCCAACAAATATTTATTGAATTCTTTTATTGTGATAAGATGCAGGCGTGTAAATGAAAGTTTCCCACAGTAATGAAGCTCTTTGATGAAGGTTTATAAAGAAAAACAAAGCATTCACATGAATGTGTCACAGTTCTACAAAGAGACCAACATAACCCAGAACAACCTGAATCCTTCGCTTAAATGTAGAATTCACAGTATTGGACATTTAGTTAATAAGATACATCCTGATGTTAAAGCACATATTTCTACACGTGCCTGTTCCACAGCCACGACCTGTGTGTGTGTGTGTGTGTGTGTGTGTGTGTGATCATGCACATTACATGTGCCGTATTGCCCAGCCTTGTGTTATGACATTAGCTGGAAATAATAATAATCATTTTAAAAATGGCGGTTTCCCCGACTGATCCGCTTCCTCAGCTGTAATGAAACTCTTTCAGGTTGAGCTTCAGTTTTGTATCTTTGCAGGTGTGGGAAACAGAAACGATGGCACAAACCAGAGAAACGCTGCCTTTCCTTTACGCTTGCTAAAAAGTCCTCTCTTGAATTTAATTATCTGTCTTCATCAAAAAGAACTTGATGATGACACCGAGCGCTCCATCAGCTGGTCAGTCAGTATATCATCTGCAGTGTTTCAAACAATTGACCTAATAGTCATTATTATCTTATTAAAGTTGAGAGCTCAGCTCACCATAAAGCACAGGCTTAACTCCAAGTGGTATTTGTCAGTGTATGACGCTGCACTTCCTGGATGTCACATGATTATATATACTTATTACGTATACACCTCAGGTCTTGCAGTGACTGTGGATTTCTTGTTGGAAAAATCAAACAGGGCAATGTTTGCTGAATGTCAGAAATTCTGATGTCACCTGATTACTGTAAAAAAGTTTGTCTGTTGATGTGACTGGACTCCTAGCACCAAAGCTGGATGTGCTAATATGCATTTCCATAGCTAAATGAAAACGATTCAGTCATGGGACTTGCCGATGACTCCCTGAACTATGTGTATAGCTGCAGAAAAATACTCCTGATACTACAGCTTTCTCCTGCTAACTTGAGTTCATGTCACATCCATGGCCGTTGCTTCGCTGGTTTTATTATTTTTGAGTCTTTTCATTGTTTTTCCAGATTTCTTTAAGGTTTAGAGCAGGGGTGCCCAATCCCGGTCCTCGAGAGCTACCGTCCTGCAGCTTTTAGACGCATCCTTCTTCTGACACACCTGAATCAACCGAATGGCTTGTTATCAGGCCTTTGCCAAACTTGATGGCATGCTGAAGAGGTAATCACACCATTTGATTCAGCTGTGTTGGAGTAGGGATGCATCTAAAAGCTGCAGGATAGTAGCTCTCGAGGACCGGGATTGGGCAGCCCTGGTTTAGAGACTGCGGCTACTTGTTGGACCGATCGTAGTGTGGGTTCCGTTTCACCCTTTCATGATCACAGATTAGGAAGCAAACTTGAAAAGATAAAGAGTTCTTTTGTTTTGATGTAAAACAATCAATGTTGCCATTTTTGTATTAAATTCAGACATGTGACCCACCTGAGGTGTAACTGTTAAAATGCTCAGCACGTGCATACAGCAGGGTACAGTTTTCTATGTTGCAACATTCAGTTCAGAACGAACTCAACAAAGAGTGAAGAAGGTCATTTAGTGTCAGTCAGAACTGAACTGCAGTGGTTGTTCGATCAGCGACTGTCTGACCTCCTACATACATGAGTAACAATAAAGAGAACACACAAAGGACACGCAGGCTCTCGCCTTAAACATCACATTCAGAGTTTGTAAATCATTCATCCAACTTCAAATGTTTCCTTAAACTGAACTCATGTATTTGACAGGGAGCCAATGTAGTTTGGCTAAAGTTGGAGTAAATTAGGTGACTAATGGTTAAAAAAGACAAAACTATCAGCATACAACGTCGCTTTGCACCTCCGAGTCGTATAGAGCGTTAAGTATAGAGCAGGACCAGTCACCCAGTTATCAAGTGTAAGTTGAACCCCAGATCAGTGGAGCATTGTTTCTCCCTCTCTGGGAATGCAGAGCATGTATCTGCATGCTCGGGATAAAGTTCAAGAGATGAAATATAAACCACATCATAATACATTGCTAAGGGTCATAATTCCACACAGGTGAACCTAGCTTTTTTCCCTTTTGACCACCCATGTGTGCTGTGAAAGGATAAAGCAGTTTCTCAGCAGCCTGTGTAGAAGGCCTGTGCTCTGTCATGTGCTTCTTTCTACACATGAATGCAAGTGAATGGCATGCCAATACCTGACCCAAGCCACAGCGATGTCTAGACTGAAAGCAGCTAAATACACACCTTGTAAAAACTCGGCCTAACATACCTGGCCCTGGGTGGTACGTGTGTCTCCTTCATTACTCAGTGTGCATATTCCTGAACTGTAGAGAATTCAGCTGGTGGTGTAGTGTTTATACCCCTCCTTCAAAGCATATATTAAAAAGGACATAAAACATTTAGAAAAGGGCTGAACTTTCCAGTCTTTTCACTTTCTTTTCTGAAAGTGAGATGTGGTTCTAATAAAGAGTAGGCATCAGGGCGTAAACAGCAAAAACTGGCGGTGTGTAAAATTTGCATACAGTTTACTTTGTGTGTACTTCTTTTTTTTTTTTTTGCTCACTGTTTGCAGCACACAGACTTTCAGGGACCTGTGCTACAGACTGACATTACTATACCTAGGGTGTCTTTCTGTTATCTGGATTCACTTACCCTAATCTTGACTACTGGGATACTTGGTCACACATAGCTGGTATAACGTGCACAGGTAACCCAGGCTTTCCCCTGTGTGTTCACATGAAAGAGTGTAGGAGGTATCTGACCAATCTAAAAAGGGATGTTTCGTGGATCATATAAATTACACAGAAAATGATCCCTGTGAGTGTCACCTAGGGCTGGGCGATATGGCCTAAAATTCATATCGCGAAGCACGTGTGGTAACGATATATATCACGATATATTCTTTTCTTCTGTATAACGTATTTTCCACACTTTAAATCCTTTAATTTTCTCAAAAATCGAGAGTGTGCCTTATGTATGAATTCTGGTTCCTGCATTACGGCTGCCGTAGGGAGGAGCTTCACGAAGTAATCTGGGTCCAAAACTCCGTCCTTTCAGGTTCCAAAGTCAAACGAACACAGAGTTAAAAACGGTCTAAATTCTTTCATCTTTAGTTAAATCATCAGCGTTGCTGCTTTACCAGGTGTAACAATTAAGTTTAACATCCATGAAAACAGAATTTATTAAATTTAACGGAGTTAGAAGTTAACAGGAAGTTAGCTCGCTAGTTTACACCTAAACATTTCATAGCATGTTCTGACAGAGATTACTGAAACGAATTCAAACGTACAGCTCTGCTGCCACTTCCAACATAAATGAAGACAGAAAACTAAACAGCAGTGGCGTTTGCAGGGTTACTGAAGTTGGACTACCTGGTATATAATGTTGTGCTACGTGATTGCTAGCGACACAGCTATGTTAGCATAACATTAGCACAGTGAAGCTGGAGGATGAAGCCAACTTTTTTTCCACTCATTAAAAGTTAACGTGAGGGATTCTGGTGGTCAGGGACAAATGCAATCACATAGCAGGATGCTGTACACGGGGCAAACTTCAGTCAGGAGAACAACTGAGATCATTCATCCACAATACGAGGTTAGTTATTAATGTGCTGCAACAACATGGGAACAGAACAGCTGCGAGAGAATTCAACATTAATGAACCGAAGTGGAGGAAGCGCAGTTTTTGGCTTTCCCCACATTTCAACAGTGCTTCATCTCTTTGCTATGACTGTCGGCATGATTTGCAGATGATAATGGTTTTAGCCGCTGCGATGCTTTCGACCAAAACAGGCGCAGCTTGATGACATCATCAACATGCGCTATGGTGATAGAGCGATATAGTCAAAATCTCTATCGTTGGCCAAATTTAGATCGTTTCTATCGCCCACCCCTAGTGTCACCTACATTATCCCATGATTAAAAAAGTGATTAAAATTCTATGAAAAACAAAAATGTATACAAGTAAAAGGCAACAGTGCAGCAGAAAACTGTTAATATGTTGACTTGGGTAAAAGAAACATTTCATTTCAAGTTAATTTTATTAGTGAGTGCACCCTCAGGGCCACTGCTTATTTCTAATGCAATGGCTGCACATTAGAGCTACACATCTTTAAACTGGATCCATTAAAAAAGTGTTACAACATTTTTCTCTTCAGTTATTCGGTGGATGTCTGTTCTCTTATAGTTGGTTAAATTTATAGGTTTATATAGCTTCTCTCATTTATAAAAAGAAATGAAAAACAGATGCAGTATTGCAGATGACCAGCGCTTTGTCAAACCCCACAAGAGTAAATTTGCTTTTTTTCCTTCCAATGAAGTACTAATTTTAAGAATCATCAAATTTGAAAAGGTTTTGAGTCTTTGCCTTATTGACGTAATATTTATTTTCCTTTCCATGAGACACGTGGACAATCCTGTGCTAGCGACGGTAGCTGAATGGGTAGTTACGTCATAAAATAACAAGCTAGCAATTAGCACCATGTTCACTCACTCCAGTTGAGTGAATCGATGTGAGTAAATGTAATTTGAATAGAAAATAGGAATACGAGATTAATTATGTAGAATTTCAAAAATACCAGATGACCAATTTTACCGAAACAAAGGCCAACGGTGGAGGTTTACACAGGAACTCAGAGCGAGAAACGGAGTAGTTTCTTCTTTTAACCAAGAGTGCTAGCAACAAGTTTAAGATCTGATGTTTGATAACTCTAAATACAGAATCTGATCACAATCTACAGACGTTATATCCCTGGTACTGCTGACACATCTGCAAACCCGCAGGTATCAACAGTGTGAGTGCGTCACTGCGTATTATCAGACATTGTTTGCAGCTGTGGTTTTTCTCTGCATTGGTGTTAAAGGGGAAGAACATAACTTGTGCACTAAAATGACTAACATGTTTAGTGTTTGCACGATCCTTTTCAGGCTGTGTCCATGGATTTTTCCCCTTTGTAAATACAAATTTATAGCGTTTTTAAAAAGCAGTTGAACCTGACTCATGTCCTATTCCAACATCATGACCACTTTTGCGTGAACTGAAGCTCCACATCCTGGCTTAGCTTACAGAGTTAGTCAAGCTCTGCTCTAAATTACAGTTTAGTAATGGTGAAGGGACCTACAGTGTATACCTGGATCATATAGGATTGTAGACAAACAGCCATTAACCCACAGTCCAATTAACCACATGTTCATCATCCCGTGTCAAACACAGGATGTGCGTGAAAGTCGTTTGGCAGGAAAAACAAAGTGGTTTTCACTTAAAGGACATCCCACAGCAGAGCCTGAACGCTGCGTCTGCAGGCATACGCCACGAGCTACTGTTGGTGTCTGAGGTGAGACAGCAGAGAGGCAAATGTCTGTGACGATGGGTGACAACAAAGAAGGATCAAAGTATCCGCAAGAAGAAC